TGTCTTCTCCCAGGGGTGTAAGGAGTGGCTCGCCGGTCATTTCTGGGTTATCTGGCGGTGTTCTAGGTCGCTTAAATTTTTACGAGTTGCCGGTTTCCCTCTTGCTCTCTGTTTCGGTTGCGTTCCTATCTTTTCTCTTTCGAAGGGAGTTATTTGTTCAATTTGGAGGATGTCTCTAGAGGTTTTCTCCCTTTTATTTAGGGTTGTCTGCCTTTGTTTCCTTCTGCGTGCTCGTTGAGGAGTACAAAGATGTATAGGCTTCCTATTGGGGAGCAACACTCGTGCCTTCGCAAAGTCAAATGTCAATTGCGCCTCTTCAATGACGTTGCGGCCTAAAATCCCTTCACACGGGGACGTGACCTCATCTCGTACGATAGCACATTGCATGCGGAGTTTCCGTCTTTGTAATTTAAACGTAGGCATCGCTGTTCCTATAGCGGTAGTTTGCTCCCCTAAGATGGGTCCCAATTTTTGTCTAATTCCAAATTTGATATGATCTTTCCCCTTCAATCTGTTTGCTAGGTCCTTTGATATGAGCGTACAATCCACTCTAGGGTCAACTTGCATTTTCACGGGGATATTATTAAGATAGACCAATATAATAGGGTTAGGTCTTACTAAGGTTGTTGTTAATCCTATTCTGCCTTTCCATCTTGTCTCGTTCTCATCGATAGCCAATAGGATAATCAAACATAGCCTCACTTGGAGATGATGTATATTTAGTAAATATAGGAAAAGAGTTTCAATTTCNCTTAATAGCTTTGAACAATAAGTTTGTGTGCTAATTGGATAGGGTCGCCTTGGGGTGTAATTTCTCGGGAAGTGCTTGGTTGGGTGTCGGGTTGCTGTTGACTTTCTCTTCCGCTGAGGGAGATGGCTTCCGGGTCGGTTGCTGTTGAGGTGGTGGATGAAGTTTTTTCTGCTGGAGGTAGCGTCAAATGACATGATAAAGGCAGCATCCCATAACAATAGTACCAAGGCAGCTTGCAATTACCGTTATTACCATTGAGAGGCAAGATGGGGGTGTTGATTTAGTTGTCATTTGTAACAGGTGATTGAGGTCATAGGTGACGTCTGATAAGGATCGATCTGCTAACTTGATATCGTAATCGGAGTTCACTTTTTTCTTTTCTTGGGTTTGTGGTTCTAGGAGACGTTTTTGAAGCATTTGTTGTTCAATTTGCGGAACTACTAGGTATTGTGCAATTTCGAGTTGTAAAGTTGATTGCCTTTGAAAGTGTGAGGTGAGAATGATTCCTGGTAGGTAACCTGTACATGCATTTGGGAGATTAATTAATTAATCATCCCAGTATAATTCAATTTGTGAGTTGTAGATATATAAGGTGATTTCTGAGGTCTAGTGGCTTAGTGGTTGACGTCATCGTCTTCGCTCTAAGTCAGTTTGGTTAAGGTCCACCTTCTACGTAAGGAAAATTTCTTCCACTAGAATAGGGAAATGTTCTTATTAATTTCCATGGTCCCTTCTGTTGGTTAAAATAAAATTTGGTAAGAGGATGAATTATGATGATTATAAATGTCACCTCGTGAAGGTACCGTTATGTTATGCTTGTGAAGGAAAGACAAGCAGTATTTTGACTCTAATAATATTGATATTTATTAGGAAAATAAAATTGATTAACACAAATTTATGCTACAACTAGATTGCTCAACATACTAAGAGGAAAAGTGGTTGCTCTATCAATATTTTTCCATTCAATTCCGCTCCAAAGGAGAGGATGATCAACTATTGGTGGGAGAAATCAATCGAGATATACGGCTTCGTGTGGGTCGAGACATAACCCAAGGTTGATCTGCAACTGTCCCTTGATTTCGAAGGGCATAAGGAAGGAAAAGGTTTCGGTTTTCTACCGCATCATGTTCAGAGAGTTCACTTTCCGGCTCAGTGTCATCACTCTCATTTTCGCTTTCCGGTAGAGATGGGAGTATGTAGGTCAACGTGAAGTCCTCCTCTGAATCAGTGGAAATACTTTGTTGTGGAGCGGCCTTTGGACTGTCTTCTCCCAGGGGTGTAAGGAGTGGCTCGCCGGTCATTTCTGGGTTATCTGGCGGTGTTCTAGGTCGCTTAAATTTTTACGAGTTGCCGGTTTCCCTCTTGCTCTCTGTTTCGGTTGCGTTCCTATCTTTTCTCTTTCGAAGGGAGTTATTTGTTCAATTTGGAGGATGTCTCTAGAGGTTTTCTCCCTTTTATTTAGGGTTGTCTGCCTTTGTTTCCTTCTGCGTGCTCGTTGAGGAGTACAAAGATGTATAGGCTTCCTATTGGGGAGCAACACTCGTGCCTTCGCAAAGTCAAATGTCAATTGCGCCTCTTCAATGACGTTGCGGCCTAAAATCCCTTCACACGGGGACGTGACCTCATCTCGTACGATAGCACATTGCATGCGGAGTTTCCGTCTTTGTAATTTAAACGTAGGCATCGCTGTTCCTATAGCGGTAGTTTGCTCCCCTAAGATGGGTCCCAATTTTTGTCTAATTCCAAATTTGATATGATCTTTCCCCTTCAATCTGTTTGCTAGGTCCTTTGATATGAGCGTACAATCCACTCTAGGGTCAACTTGCATTTTCACGGGGATATTATTAAGATAGACCAATATAATAGGGTTAGGTCTTACTAAGGTTATTGTTAATCCTATTCTGCCTTTCCATCTTGTCTCGTTCTCATCGATAGCCAATAGGATAATCAAACATAGCCTCACTTGGAGATGTTGTATATTTAGTAAATATAGGAAAAGAGTTTCAATTTCGTTCCTGAGAGGTTTTATAGGTCTGCCGATGTGGAGCTATAGGAGATCTTCGCTTCGGCTTACTTATAGGATAAGGTATAGTGGCATTACTTCAAGGATCATAACATGGTCGTCGACTTTCGATGCTTTGCACATTGGCTTTCCAACGGGTTTGTGTTGGTTCCGAAGGTTGCAATCGGAAGCGGACCCGGTTTTGGTCAGGTCTTGCGTCGCTTCTTTGTGGGGAGTCGTTTCGTGGGCGTGTGCCTCGATTGTTATTATTATTCTCTCAGCGATCAGGAAAATTCTGGGTCCGATTTAGGTTAGGTCGATTAATTGGACGATACTCGCTGCGTCTGAAAGGTGGATTAGTATATGTTCGATTCCTATAGTTCCTTCGCTGATTTTGATTGGATGCGGGGTTCCTATAAATGTTTCGAGAGAAGGCTTCAGTTAAGCTGTCCATTCACATCCTTAACTCGTTCATCGCTGCGGTTAATTTCTGTAAATCATTACTGAATTTGTTGATCGGTCGCCTTCCCTAATTGTTCGCATGATCCCCCGCGGATGTGCGGTGAGGTTTTCTATCATTTCCTCGCTAATAGCGGCCTTTAGCGCATCATCAAACGTAGCAGGCTCCCGTGACATCGTCCGTTGCAGTATGCGTAAATCAATTCCGTTTAAAAACTGCGCCTTCAATCGTTCATCTAGTTCCTTTGTCTGGACCCTTTGTATAATAGCGGTTTCCTCGGCATTTGCACCCGGCTCTGGCGTGATTACTATCTCCATGGCCAGAGACTGAAGACGAGCGGCATACGCCTGCACATCTTCCTCCCATTTCTGAACACAAGTATAAAATTTATTTAATCTGAAAGGAAAAGGTTCTCGATCAAATTGCTCGATCATTAGACGTTTGAATTCATCGAATTCATCTACAGTTTTAATCCGATGACCCTTCCTAACGAATTCTCAGGCTATTCCCGTAAGTTTTAATTTTGCTACCACTAGCATCTGCCTTTGACCAGGCGGCTACTTTGGTGACGTTCGCCAAAGAATCAAAAAAATCGGTTACTCTGGGGCCTCCTGCCTCTCCAGAAAATAAGTTAATACCCAAAGGATTAACCATGCATGCGTGACCTTGAGTAATTCCTGATAGTGTGTGGGAGAAAATTTAACAGTTTTGGCAAACTGTACCGACCACCGGAGTAGAATTGAAAAACCATTTGATTTTTTTCACGACAGCACACATGTTAAGATCACCCTGCGCAGTCTGACACTGTGCAGGCTGATCTTAACGNTTTTTATGTATTCTAAGAAATTATATGTAAAATAAATTTGCTCACAGGTGTTGGTGTTTGTTTAATAATAATAATAATAATAATAACTCTCCCATGGTCACCACCTGGTTGTGATGGGAGAGCCCAGTAATTTTACTGATTTGTAGGGCAATGCAGGCTGGAGCACAAGCTCCTGGTAGGGACACCCATTCCAGTAAGGTCTATGGGGAGAAATGAAGCTAAAAGTGACCACACCCACATTCTATGGAGTTATTCATAATGGTAGTAACCAGATCAAAGTGTGATACTATCTTGGATGTCGCTACATATCACACTACAGAAGGCCACTATATTGAATACATGCCACATTATTAGGAAATTCCTGAATACAGACACTGACACACTTATTTAAATTTTTGTTCTTGGTTGCTATGCCTTGACTCTGGTCCGGCATAGTACACACCAGTGTCAACCGAGTATAACCCACTAAACCCAACATAATAATAATAATAGGTTAGTGGCATTACGTAATTCTATTAATAATATCGTATCATATCATACGTTTTTGAGGGGAATAACATTTTGGTGTGCCATACTCAGTCATGGGTGTGCTGCAAGTAGAAAAAGGTGCAGAACACTGGCCTAGAAGTTTGACAATGGCATTTGGAATGTCGAGCATGATTCCACTGACATTCCAAATGCCATTGTCAAACTTCTAGGCTCATAGGAAGGTGGTGCTAAATGTTGGATGTACACGTTTTTGTGTTGAAAACATCGGCCACAACCCCTCTATTTTTCAAACACAGACAACTCATCGATTATCTGCATAAAAATTCATTGTATAACATTTTTGTGATTATGCATTTAAAATTGATTTTAAAATAACACTCCAATTTTTCAGAGAAAATATTGATGTAAATGTATAAAAGTAGTACTTTGTCTTTTATAAATTATGAATCATTGAAATTATTTTATTTTTCAGGTTACTGCTAGTGTTCTTCGTAACCTGTCTTGGAGAGCTGATGCCGATAGCAAAAAAGCTTTGAGATCTGTGGGAGTTGTTACTACTCTAATTAAAGCAGCTATGGAAGCTACAAAAGAATCCACATTAAAAAGTATATTATCAGCACTTTGGAATCTTTCAGCACATTGCAGTAACAATAAAGCTGATATCTGTGCGGTAGATGGAGCTTTAGCATTTCTTGTTGGTACACTTGTTTATAAAAGTCCATCAAAAACACATTCTGTAATTGAAAATGGTGGTGGAATTTTAAGAAATATTTCTAGTCATATAGCTCTATGTGAAGAATATAGAGCAGTTTTACGTAAGCACAGATGTTTACAGACTCTGTTAGAGCATTTAAAGTCACCAAGTTTGACAATTGTCAGTAATGCTTGTGGAACTCTGTGGAATCTGTCTGCACGCTGTGTTCAGGATCAACGTATTCTATGGGAATTAGGAGCTGTAAATATGTTAAGACGGTTAATACATTCACGACATAAAATGATTGCTATGGGTAGTTCTGCAGCCTTAAAAAATTTATTAACTGCAAAAATACCTGGAACAACTTACTGTTTTAATAGTATGTATGAATCAGGACATTTTGGTATTAATACACCATCTCTTCTAGTACGTAAGCAGAGAGCTTTAGAAGCAGAAATTGATCATAATTTATCTGAAACTTATGATAATATTGATAGTCCAAAAAATAGTCCCACTCATAATGCAAATCTAGAAAACAGATTTGCTTTTCATAGTATTCAGCAACCAAGATATACGGTTTCTTTACCTGGTTGTATCTATGACAATGGTCAAGTTAGATCACAAGAAGTTACCCGTTCTATTAGTCATGATAGTTTAGGAAGTACACATTCTGAACCTCTTTATCCTCATCTCCAAAGTGGTGCTTTTAGACTTATTTCAAGAAATGCAAAATTTGTTTCACCAGATCATAGACATTATTCTGTAAAAATAGCAGAATGGAAAAATTTTCAACTGTCTTCTTTTAAAGATAATTATTTGCCCTTTATAAAGTGTTCAGTTTTGCCAAATCAGAGTTTACATAGTAGTATAAATGATGGAAATTCAATTAATTCTGAATTTTTAGAAAAAGAAAGTGAAGGTATGAGTTCTTTGAATGAGTCTAAATTTATAAATATTGATTCCATAAATAATTCAATTGAAGAAAGAATTAAATTAGATTCAAATGAATTGAATAGTCTAGAAGGTGAAGTAGAAACTTCTGATGATGATTCAGATAAAAGTGAACAAAAAAATTTAAATAATTCTACGTTAGAAGTATCTACTTATAAAAAACAAGCAAATCATTTAAGTAAATTAGCTACAATTGCACAAAAAATTGATTTTTTCAATATTGAAGATCATGATACTCACGAACAACCTATTGATTATAGTTTAAAATATAGAGAAGAAAATGTGGCCTTAATTTCTGATATTGAAGAAAAGTGTCCACATCCTAAAATTGATAATTTTATGTTAAAAAATAGTCCAGTATGTTCTTATAAAGAATCATCATCATCAGTTGTTAAAAATGATAATAACTGGAATAATAATGAAATCTGTGTAACGTTGTCAGAAAATGTCACAAGTGAAAGTTGTATTAGAGATGTAACTGATAAAAGGCCATTTTCAGAAACTGATTTTGATAATCCTGATCAACCAACTGATTTCAGTCAGAAATATACTGAACATATTGATCCATTAGAATTATATCCATCTCAGACCCAACATAAAAAAGAAAGTTCCAAACTATTTAATTGTTCTAATACAGAAATTACTTATGATAAATCTGAATCTAAACATTATACAAATGATGATACAGTTAAAATTTATTGTACAGAAGACACACCATTAAATTTCTCAACAGCATCATCTCTAACTGATCTCCAAGATATACATTTATCTGCTTCCTCAGATACTTGTTTATGTCTAAAAAGCAAAGACAAACTGTCTGTTAATGCTGAAAGAGAAGCAATTTCTTCTTCTGATTCAAAAGGAACTATGCCTTTTGTTTTGGAAACAACTTGTAGAAATTCTATGCTGATTGAGCCAACTTCATATTGTGAAAAGAAAAATATTGAAAAACCCAATTCTGATTCTAAGAAAGAAGTATGTGCTGTTGAAAAAGAAGGTAAGTATTTTTAAAGAAAAAATAATTGTTAATTACTGTTAAAAGTGAAAAATTGTTGTTCTCTATTTATTTATCATGCAGTGGAACCTCTATATTTGTCATTAATTTGTTTCTAAAGATCTAAGGAATATGGAAAATGACAAATATAGAAACAATTTTTCTCTTAATAAATTATTGATATTCAATTAATCCGTTCACATCGTAAAAAAGATACAGGAATAAAAATTTTGTTGTTTGTAAAATTTTATCTTTATTGTACTAAATAAATACAGTATAGTAGTAGAAGGGGAAGAAGAGTAAGGTTATTGTTGTTTAGAAGACATACCATCAATTAAAACATTAGGTAATTCCAATTATGATCTCGGCTTATTAACTTCTTTGGTTAAGTTGGAAACACTAGAGAGGTTGTGGCCAAAGTTCTCATCTCTAAAATATGAACGTTGAACATTGAGCACCGCCATCTTATAAACCTAGAAGTTTGACAATGGCATTTTGAACGTCGAGCATTATTCCAATGGCCTTCCAAATGCCATTGTCAAACTTTTAGGCTTACAAGATGGCAGTGCTTAATGTTCAACATTCATGTTTTATAGATGAGAACTTTGGCCGCAACCTCTCTACTCTGTCCATTTTCAAACTTTAGAGATAAAAAAAATTATTACTTTGTAGAGAATCATACCTAATTGCAAAATTTCCAGCAAAGAAACACAAAGTTGAGCGTTTCTTTGCTGAAAATTTTGAACATAGTGGACGTTTATGTTTTAGAGATGAAAACTTCAGTCGCAACCTCACTAGTAATACATAAAAACAGCTTCAAAATTATTGTTTTCTTGCTTTTTCATTTTCAAATTGGTCAATCACTTTCTATAAATCAAGTTGACAAGCTATTGTTTTTTCAATTGATATAGTTGCCAAAGAATTAAGATGGTGTTGTGATGTGCTGCTTTTTAAATACGTTTTGATTAATTTCAGTTTTGAAAAACTTTGTTCTGCTGTCACTGTCCTTGTCAGTAAAGTTAAAAAATGAGGCATGCTGCAATAATGTTGGAAAATCCATTTGAGGCTGCAGTGTGAATTAGAATTAGTTTGGCAACTTCACATAAAGAGGTAATTTCTTTTAAGTGAGCATTAAAACACATTTTAAATTGAAGCAATTGAGGTCCAAAACTAGGCGAAATGTCAGAGGAATATACCGATTGTAACAATTCTGATCTTTCCAGTATATTTTTATCAGATGATGTAACAAGATATGCAGGTGATAAGCACTTAAAAAGTGTACAGTACATAATTCACGAACGGATTCAAATCTAATAGTTAATTGATTAATTATTGAATCTATTACTTTATAAAACACTTGACTTTGAAACATTGTTCACTGTTTTCAATGTTTTTGCCAAGTTGGTTTGATTCATTTCCATTAATATTGCCCATTGCATAACAGAACTGAAAAAAACAAAAAAAATTAACTGTTTATTAAATTGTCTGACTTCTTGTATATTGGTGACGCTGTCATTGATCACTAAATTCAAATTATGAGAACAGCAATGTACACTACAAATCTGGCAGTGTGGTTTCCTTGTTTAATTCTTGCTTGTAACCCTGAGTAGGCATCACTCATATTCACAGCCCTGTCGTAACCTTGACCATGTAATTTTGATAGATTGGTGAAATTTTCAATACATTTTAAAACTTGTTTATAATCCTTCTGATGTTTGATCAGTAACCTGAATAAATCCACAAAACGTTTCCTTTATTTGCAGCTCGATTGGTTTTTCATTTTTATCTTTTTTTTTATTAAAATATAATGGAATACGATACTTAGTTGATTGAGTATTGATAGATCTTGCATTGTATCTGTTACTGTTATGAAAGCAGCCTATTCTATTTCACTTTTAATTTGGACATTAATTTCATTGCAACAAAATTAATTTATTTTGTACTAGCTGCAAGGACCCGCTTCGCTGGGTTTTTATTTGTTCGTACATTTGTATGTAATATAGTTTTTTTTATATAGGCCTATATAAAAGACTGTTTTTCTAAGTAATCTAGAATCTAGCTGCAAGGACCCGCTTCGCTGGGTTTTTAAAAAGTAACGATAGTGAAGATTAAGATAATTACATTATAGCCAATCTTACCCGTTTTCACAGAATGCAAGAATTAGGTCCCCCGTTTCCTGACTAATTAGAGACCTGGTCCCTATTCTATTTCTGAACGTCTCCTGTTCACGTCAAGTCAAACGAACTATTTTCAACGTTTCTGGAACGTTTACAATCGAACCAATATTCGAATTTTATTCGAACAAAACATTCGAAATAGAAAGCCACTTTCAACCACTTTCAAGCCCATATCTCCCGCACCCTTATAGCTATCGAGACACAACCACCCTGGTGCACGAATGGAGACTTGCGGCTACTACCACATAAAAATACCATTCACTTTTCCGCCAAAACTACACATCGCACGTGAATGGTATATATATAGGTAGATATAGATATAGATATAAAATCACAAAACATTTATTGTATTATACAAAACTAATAAAGTAGATGCTTTGCTTCCGTTTTCCATCTGTCGTTCGCTCCAGTAGACAATCCACAATTTCACAAGCAGGGGGCGACCTTGCTTGTGAAATTGTGGATTGAAAACGGAAGCAAAGTATCTTTATCTTTGTTAAACGTTGCAACTTTATATTTATTTATACAGTTAAGTGTAATGAAATTAAATGTATTACCGTCGGCCATGTTTTTATATTTTTTATTTTACTTAAAGTTTTGTTTGTTCAATATTTCTATTTGCAATGAACGATAGTTTTACTAAGACGTAACATGTTCGATACTCGTTTAATTCTTTAGTACTTTTTAGTACTAAAAGAAGAATTAAACGAGTATCGAACTTGTTACGTTTTAGTAACTTTAGATCTGGCAACACGCATGGTCGTAGCGAGGGGGAGCCTAGGTGGGCACTGCCCTCCCCAGTGAACCTGGTGCCCCCCAGAAAATCACAGCCAAAAAAGTGTTAAGCCGATTTGGAAACAACAAAAAACTTAAAGCTAAAAATTTTGAATACTAATTAAAAAAAAAAAGGTCCACTGTGCCTAATGTTATGAATAATTTGAAATAATTCAATTTTGTGTTAGGTTGGCCTCTACTAGGCCCCCACAACAAAACTCTGGCTACGCCCATGGCAACACCAGATATTTGTTGAGTTCGCACTGTTACTACCAATTTTTAATTGACTTTGATGCATGAATGGCAGCACTATCCTGTTAGAATTGCCAATTTTCTCTCCCAATAAGTGATCCAAAAATTATTAAATTTTGATACAACAGTTCTTGATACAGTGGAAACAAGGGGGCCTTAAAACTGAAAACAAAAGCCGCAGTCGCTAAGTCTCTAAGTTCAAAAAATGAATCGTCTCGCCTGCGAATGACTCGCTTTGATTTAGAGAAAATTGATGCAGATACACTGAATGTCCATATATATCCAGGGTGGCCAAGCTCCTTGATAGTCCGAGCCATTTTTCAAAAATTTTTCGCGAGCCGCAATTAAATACGTATTAAAAAGGTATGCAAAAAATTCCAGATTATAAATTATATCCGTAGCAAGAGTGATACAAATTGTTTCCTCCAGAGCACAATGTCAACTGTCCGTTGCAATGACAGTTTACAAATTCAAAACCGGTCTGGAGTCGGTCGATAACGGACGATTACGCCACTGTTTATGTTCGTTCGCGCAGTTTTCGATGAGTCATATCATTCTT